TTGTACATGTACTTGTATACCTTGTACATGTACACCTTGTACATGTACTTGTATACCTTGTACATGTACTTGCATACCTTGTACATGTACTTGTGTACCTTGTACATGTACTTGTATACCTTGTACATGTACTTGTATACGTTGTACATGTACTTGTATACCTTGTGCATGTACTGGTATACCTTGTACATGTACTTGTATACCTTGTACATGTACTTGTATACCTTGTACATGTACTTGTATACCTTGTACATGTACTTGTATACCTTGTACATGTACTTGTATATCTTGTACTTGTATACCTTGTACATGTACTTGTATACCTTGTACATGTACTTGCATACCCTGTACATGTACTTGTATACCTTGTACATGTACTTGTATACCTTGTACATGTACTTGTATACCTTGTAAATGTAGTTGTATACCTTGTACATGTACTTGTATACCTTGCACATGTACTTGTATACCTTGTACATGTACTTGTATACCTTGTACATGTACTTGTATACCTTGCACATGTACTTGTATACCTTGTACATGTACTTGTATACCTTGTACATGTACTTGTATACCTTGTACATGTACTTGTATACCTTGTACATGTACTTGTATACCTTGTACATGTACTTGTATACCTTGCACATGTACTTGTATACCCTGTACATGTACTTGTATACCTTGTACATGTACTTGTATACCTTGCACATGTACTTGTATACCTTGTACATGTACTTGTATACCTTGCACATGTACTTGTATACCTTGTACATGTACTTGTATACTTGTACATGTACTTGTATACCTTGTACATGTACTTGTATACCTTGTACATGTACTTGTATACCTTGTACATGTACTTGTATACCTTGTACATGTACTTGTATACCTTGTACATGTACTTGTATACCTTGTACATGTACTTGTATACCTTGTACATGTACTTGTATACCTTGTACATGTACTTGTATACCTTGTACATGTACTTGTATACCTTGTACATGTACTTGTATACCTTGTACATGTACTTGTATACCTTGTACATGTACAGCTGGAATAAAGCTATTATTGTTATTATTACACGCTATCTGATCTTATCCATGTTTTCTCCGCATTGTCCAGTCTCTGTCAGACTCCAGTTAGGCAGTAGGGGCGCCATTAGCACTAAGAGACAGCACAATAAGTGTGAGGGGTCCAAGACTGTTCAACAGTCTCCCAGAATACATAAAGTGGATTACCAATAGACCTCTGGCTGTCTTCAAGACCCCTGGCTGTCTTCAAGACTTCTGGCTGCCTTCAAGACCCTGGCTGTCTTCAAGACCCCTGACTGTCTTCAAGACTCCTGGCTGTCTTCAAGACTCCTGGCTGTCTTCAAGACTCCTGGCTGTCTTCAAGACCCCTGGCTGTCTTCAAGACCCCTGGCTGTCTTCAAGACCCCTGGCTGTCTTCAAGACCCCTGGCTGTCTTCAAGACCCCTGACTGTCTTCAAGACTCCTGGCTGTCTTCAAGACTCCTGGCTGTCTTCAAGACTCCTGGCTGTCTTCAAGACCCCTGGCTGTCTTCAAGACTCCTGGCTGTCTTCAAGACTCCTGACTGTCTTCAAGACTCCTGGCTGTCTTCAAGACTCCTGGCTGTCTTCAAGACCCCTGGCTGTCTTCAAGACCCCTGACTGTCTTCAAGACTCCTGGCTGTCTTCAAGACTCCTGGCTGTCTTCAAGACTCCTGGCTGTCTTCAAGACCCTTGGCTGTCTTCAAGACCCTTGCCTGTCTTCAAGACCCTTGGCTGTCTTCAAGACCCCTGGCTGTCTTCAAGACCCCTGGCTGTCTTCAAGACTCCTGGCTGTCTTCAAAACTCCTGGCTGTCTTCAAGACTTCTGGCTGTCTTCAAAACTCCTGGCTGTCTTCAAGACTCTTGGCTGTCTTCAAGACCCTTGGCTGTCTTCAAGACCCCTGGCTGTCTTCAAGACTCCTGGCTGTCTTCAAGACCCTGGCTGTCTTCAAGACCCCTGGCTGTCTTCAAGACTCCTGGCTGTCTTCAAGACCCTGGCTGTCTTCAAGATCCCTGGCTGTCTTCAAGACCCTGGCTGTCTTCAAGACCCTGGCTGTCTTCAAGACTCCTGGCTGTCTTCAAGACTCCTGGCTGTCTTCAAGACCCTGGCTGTCTTCAAGACCCTGGCTGTCTTCAAGACTTCTGGCTGTCTTCAAGACTCCTGGCTGTCTTCAAGACCCTGGCTGTCTTCAAGACCCTGGCTGTCTTCAAGACCCTGGCTGTCTTCAAGACTCCTGGCTGTCTTCAAGACCCTGGCTGTCTTCAAGACCCTGGCTGTCTTCAAGACTCCTGGCTGTCTTCAAGACTCCTGGCTGTCTTCAAGACCCTGGCTGTCTTCAAGACCCTGGCTGTCTTCAAGACCCCTGGCTGTCTTCACGACCCTGGCTGTCTTCAAGACCCTGGCTGTCTTCAAGACCCTGGCTGTCTTCCGGACCCTGGCTGTCTTCAAGACCCTGGCTGTCTTCAAGACCCTGGCTGTCTTCAAGACCCTGGCTGTCTTCAAGACCCCTGGCTGTCTTCAAGACCCTGGCTGTCTTCAAGACCCTGGCTGTCTTCAAGACCCTGGCTGTCTTCAAGACCCTGGCTGTCTTCAAGGCCCCTGGCTGTCTTCAGGACCCTGGCTGTCTTCAAGACCCTGGCTGTCTTCAAGACCCTGGCTGTCTTCAAGACCCTGGCTGTCTTCAAGACCCTGGCTGTCTTCAAGACTCCTGGCTGTCTTCAAGACTCCTGGCTGTCTTCAAGACCCTGGCTGTCTTCAAGACCCTGGCTGTCTTCAAGACTCCTGGCTGTCTTCAAGACTCCTGGCTGTCTTCAAGACCCTGGCTGTCTTCAAGACCCTGGCTGTCTTCAAGACCCTGGCTGTCTTCAAGACCCTGGCTGTCTTCAAGACCCCTGGCTGTCTTGAGGACCCTGGCTGTCTTCAAGACCCTGGCTGTCTTCAAGACCCTGGCTGTCTTCAAGACCCCTGGCTGTCTTCAGGACCACTGACTGTCTTCAACAGGCGCTGGACAGACACTTCAATTCAGTATACACTTAGTATACAGTACTTGACCAGCCTGGCTGCGGTTCATGCGTTGGTTTATGTGCGGCCAGCAGTAACAGCCTGACTCACGAAATCGTAATGACACGATTGCAAAGAAACCATACCACGGTCTGGAGTTTTGAGACTCTCTGACCGCGGGTTCAAATCCCACCCGTGGTATGGTTTAACAGCCTGGTTGATGAGGTCCTTATCCGCCACGAGGCCTTGTCATGGGCCAGGCCTCTGGGGCGTTGACCCCCGAAACAACATCCAAGTACAGTGGACCCCCGCATAACGATTACCTCCGAATGTGACCAATTATGTAAGTGTATTTATGTAAGTGCGTTTGTACGTGTATGTTTGGGGGTCTGAAAAGTGACTAATCTACTTCACAATATTCCTTATGGGAACAAATTCGGTCAGTACTGGCACCTGAACATTCTTCTGGAGTGAAAAAATATCGTTAACCGGGGGTCCACTGTACAGTGGACCCCCGGTTAACGATATTTTTTCACTCCAGAAGTATGTTCAGGTGCCAGTACTGACCGAATTTGTTCCCATAAGAAATATTGTGAAGTAGATTAGTCCATTTCAGACTCCCAAACATACACGTACAAACGCACTTACGTAAATACACTTACATAATTGGTCGCATTCTGAGGTAATCGTTATGCGGGGGTCCACTGTATATTCCAGGCAGGTACACCTCATGTAGGGGATTTCCCATTGGTTGCAATTCATCCCTAAGCACTCAATAACTCACAATTATGACATCCTTCGCCCTGCTATCTCTTTCTGTAGTAGACTGAGATGTATCAGTGGCGGTACTATCTAAATATTCCAAGCCATCACATTCTGCTTAAAAACCGTGACAGACCTACATTTAACACTACTGCTGGCACGAGGGAAGTGACAGGCCAGTGTTTGACACCTTACTGTTGGCACTAGAGACTTATTCGGCACTTAATATAGTATTAAATCTATACAGTACCGTTAATGAGGCGAACAAGACATATACATAACATTTAGGTATCCCGGGTGGCCCGTGGCTTGGTTGGCAACGCACTTGCCTCACACACACTGAGTGTCTGTAGTTCGAATCCCGGCTGGAAATCGTGTGTTAGTGTGGCCTGTAAATGATACTAGTCGAACCGAAGCGTCATTATAAGCTCCTGTCTTCTGTGGGCGGGTTATTTATGTATTCTAGCTGGGACTGACTCTCCTAGTGACGTATAAGTAATAATGATTACAAAATCAGATGAGGGCTGTGAATTGACCCCTGCAACCACATGTAGGTAAGGACATATAGGTGTGTACGTATTCCCACGTGTGTACATATTCTCAGGTGTGTACATATAGGTATGTACACATTCTCTGTTATGTCAGGGCACATTGTAGAGTGAATGTGTGCTGGATGTTGGAGGTTCTCTGTGATCCTTGAGAGTCTAATGATGTTAGTTACTCAGACATTATTATTATTGCTGCTATTATTATTATTATTATTATTATTATTATTATTATTATTATTATTATTATTATTGTTTATTATTATTATATTATTATTATTATTATTATTATTATTATTATTATTATTGTTATTATTATTATTTATTATTATTATTATTATTGTTTATTATTATTATTATTATTATTATTATATTATTATTATTATTATTGTTGTTATTATTATTATTATTATTATTATTATTATTATTATTATTGTTATTATTGTTGTTATTATTATTATTATTATTATTATTATTATTATTATTATTATTATTGTTATTATTATTATTATTATTATTATTATTATTATTATTATTATTATTATTATTATTATTATTGTTATTATTATTATTATTATTATTGTTATTATTGTTATTATTATTATTATTATTATTATTATTATTATTATCTTTTCAGGAAGAGATAAATGAAGTGTTGGCACCAGAGGAGTGAGAGGCACTACGTTTGATATCAGTTTTGGCACCCGAGGGGCTAGATCTGCGTTTGGTACTTGACACCAGAAAATTGATAGGCCTGAGTTTTTTCCACATTCTTGGCATCAAAAGAAGTAATAGGCCTGTGTTTGAATTGGCTCTTGGTACGAGAGATGTGGCAGGCCTACATTTGACACTGCTGTTGGCACTAGATACTTGAAAGGCCTGTGTCTGACTCTACTGTTGGCATCAGAGAATTGACACACCTGTGTCTGGCACTACTGTTGGCACTAGATACTTGACAGGTCTGTGTTTGACATTACTGTTGGCACCAGAGAATTGACAGACCTGTATTTGACACTACTGTTGGCACCAGAGAATTGACAGGCCTGTGTCTGACACTACTGTTGGCACTAGATACTTGACAGGTCTGTGTTTGACACTACTGTTGGCACCAGAGAATTGACAGACCTGTATTTGACACTACTGTTGGCACCAGAGAATTGACACGCCTGTGTCTGACACTACTGTTGGCACCAGAGAATTGGCACACCTGTATTTGACACTTCTGTTGGCACCAGAGAATTGACAGGCCTGTGTCTGACACTACTGTTGGCACTAGATACGTGACAGGTCTGTGTTTGACACTACTGTTGGCACCAGAGAATTGACAGGCCTGTGTCTGACACTACTGTTGGCACCAGAGAATTGACAGGCCTGTGTCTGACACTACTGTTGGCACTAGATTACTGACAGAAGTTGCGTTTGACACCACTGTTGACACCAAAAGAGGTGAAGAGTGGACCAACAACAGTCCACCAACAATAACACTCACCAACATGACCCGCAACCTCACCATCATATCTGAAGAGGACCCCAACACTTACCCTGAGGGAGACGCCTACATCTTCCACCAAACCAAGGTCAAAGTTCCCCTGCTTCTGCTCTACACTCTCGTCTTTATCCTCGCATTCTTCGGTAAGTACTCCATTTTAACATTTATTATTATTATTATTATTATTATTATTATTATTATTATTATTATTATTATTATAACAATGATAATAGTTACATATACTAAGTAGGAATCAGTGTAGTGGATTAAAATATGATATAATCAATGTTTTGTGGTCAGTATATTCCTCTCGGTGTTTTAGGTCGGTTTATCAATGTAAACCAATGCTTTAGGACGGTTTATCTCTGTAAAGCAGGGTTTTAGGTAGGTTTATCACTGTGTCTCTCTTACTGTGAATTAATATTTCTGGATCTCTGTTACTGTGAATGTTTCTGGATCTCTGTTACTGTGAATGTTTCTGGATCTCTGTTACTGTGAATGTTTCTGGATCTCTGTTACTGTGAATGTTTCTGGATCTCTGTTACTGTGAATGTTTCTGGATCTCTGTTACTGTGAATGTTTCTGGATCTCTGTTACTGTGAATGTTTCTGGATCTCTGTTACTGTGAATGTTTCTGGATCTCTGTTACTGTGAATGTTTCTGGATCTCTGTTACTGTGAATGTTTCTGGATCTCTGTTACTGTGAATGTTTCTGGATCTCTGTTACTGTGAATGTTTCTGGATCTCTGTTACTGTGAATGTTTCTGGATCTCTGTTACTGTGAATGTTTCTGGATCTCTGTTACTGTGAATGTTTCTGGATCTCTGTTACTGTGAATGTTTCTGGATCTCTGTTACTGTGAATGTTTCTGGATCTCTGTTACTGTGAATGTTTCTGGATCTCTGTTACTGTGAATGTTTCTGGATCTCTGTTACTGTGAATGTTTCTGGATCTCTGTTACTGTGAATGTTTCTGGATCTCTGTTACTGTGAATGTTTCTGGATCTCTGTTACTGTGAATGTTTCTGGATCTCTGTTACTGTGAATGTTTCTGGATCTCTGTTACTGTGAATGTTTCTGGATCTCTGTTACTGTGAATGTTTCTGGATCTCTGTTACTGGGAATGTTTCTGGATCTCTGTTATTGTGAATGTTTCTGGATCTCTGTTACTGTGAATGTTTCTGGATCTCTGTTACTGGGAATGTTTCTGGATCTCTGTTACTGTGAATGTTTCTGGATCTCTGTTACTGTGAATGTTTCTGGATCTCTGTTATTGTGAATGTTTCTGGATCTCTGTTACTGTGAATGTTTCTGGATCTCTGTTACTGTGAATGTTTCTGGATCTCTGTTATTGTGAATGTTTCTGGATCTCTGTTACTGTGAATCAGTGTATTTTTGGATCTCCACCACTGTGAATCAATGATGTTTGGTTTTCTACTACTGTGAATCAATGTCTGACAGAATATACCTTTGAACGAACATTTTTCAAAGGTAATAATCGTAAAAATGAGAATGGAACAAAGATAACAATATAAGGTAATCAAAGGCACGTAAGTTCCCTTTGTCTCGTAAGGTGACGTCTGGGTCTGGGATCGTAAGGTGAAGTCTGGGATCGTAAGGTGAAGTCTGGGTCTGGGATTGTAAGGTGAAGTCTGGGTCTGGGATTGTAAGGTGAAGTCTGGGTCTGGGATCGTAGCGTGAAGTCTGGGTCTGAGATTATAAGGTGACGTCTGGGTCTGGGATCGTAAGGTGAAGTCTGGGTCTGGGATCGTAAGGTGAAGTTTGGGTCTGGGGTCGTAAGGTGAAGTCTGGGTCTGGGATCGTAGGGTGAAGCCTGAGTAGTCTAGGTCTGGGATCGTAAGGTGAAGTCTGGGATCGTAAGGTGAAGTCTGGGTCTGGGATTGTAAGGTGACGTCTGGGTCTGGAATCGTAAGGTGAAGCCTGGGATCGTAAGGTGACATCTGGGTCTGGGATCGTAAGGTGACGTCTGGGCCTGGGATCATAAGGTGACATCTGGGTCCGGGATTGTAAGGTGAAGTCTGGGTCTGGGATTGTAAGGTGACGTCTGGATCTGGGATCATAAGGTGAAGTCTGAGTCTGGGATCGTAAGATGAAGTCTGGGTCTGGGATCATAAGGTGAAGTCTGGGTCTGGGATCGTAAGGTGAAGTCTGGGTCTGGGATCATAAGGTGAAGTCTGGGTCTGGGATCGTAAGGTGAAGTCTGGGTAGTCTGGGTCTGGCATCATAAGGTGAAGTCTGGGTCTGGGATCATAAGGTGAAGTCTGGGTCTGGGATCATAAGGTGAAGTCTGGGTCTGGGATCATAAGGTGAAGTCTGGGTAGTCTGGGTCTGGGATTGTAAGGTGAAATCTGGGTCTGGGATCGTAAGGTAACGTCTGGGCCTGGGATCATAAGGTGAAGTCTGGATCTGGGATCATAATGTGAAGTCTAGGATCCAGGATCGTAAGGTGAAGTCCAGAATCTTTCTTAATTCATGGTATAACTTAACATATCTTCGAGGACAAATGTGTTGCAGAGGTCTGAGCACACCTCAAAGATTTGTTAAATTATACCATGAATTAAGGAAAGCTCCCAGACTTCACCTTACGATTCTAGATCCTAGACTTCACCTTACGACCCTAGATCCTAGACTTCACCTTACGACCCTAGATCCTAGACTTCACCTTACGACCCTAGATCCCAGACTTCACTTTATGACCCTAGATCCTAGACGTCACCTTACGATCCTAGATCCTAGACTTCACCTTGTGACCCTAGATCCTAGACTAAACCTTATGACCCTAGATCCTTGACTTCACCTTGCAATCCTAGATCCTAGACTTCACCTTATGACCCTAGATCCTAGACTTCATCTTACGACCCTAGATCCTAGACTTCACCTTACGACCCTAGATCCTAGACTTCACCTTACGACCCTAGAGGTGAAGGTCGTAAGGTGAAGTCCAGGATCCTAGATCCTGGACTTCACCTTACGACCCTAGATTCTAGACTTCACCTTACGACCCTAGATCCTAGACTTCACCTTATGACCCTAGATCCCAGACTTCACCTTACAATCCTAGATCCCAGACTTCACTTTACGACCCTAGATCCCAGACTTCACCTTACAATCCTAGATCCCAGACTTCACCTTACGACCCTAGATCCTAGACTTCACCTTATGACCCTAGATCCCAGACTTCACCTTACAATCCTAGATCCCAGACTTCACTTTACGACCCTAGATCCCAGACTTCACCTTACGATCCTAGATCCCAGACTTCACCTTACGATCCTAAATCCCAGACTTCACGTTACGATCCTAAATCCCAGACTTCACCTTACGATCCTAAATCCCAGACTTCAACTTACGAAAGCAGATAAAGCAAATAGATAGTAATTATGGACAATGTATATCATAGTGGGAAAGTAAACATAATACGTATTAGGAACTTAACGCGCCTCTTAACATGTCAGTCGAAGGTAAACCTTAACAGACTTGCTTTCTGTTGCTCTGTTGTCTTTAGCAATTTTAATTTTCTAATTGAAAAATTAATTACACTGTGGGGAGGGGGCAAGGTGTGGAAGATAGATGGGGGAAAGTTGAAGATGTGTAGGCCGTGTCTCCACAAACTTTAGGAATTTGGAGATTGCTATTTGAGCTGTGTGCTACTTGTAGGTTGTGTACACCCAGGGTTGTATGTCAGTGTGTATACACCCAGGGTTGTATGTCAGTGTGTATACATCCAGGGTTGTATGTCAGTGTGTATACACCCAGGGTTGTATGTCAGTGTGTATACACCCAGGGTTGTATGTCAGTGTGTATACATCTAGGGTTGTATTTCAGTGTGTATACACCCAGGGTTGTATGTCAGTGTGCATACACCCAGGGTTGTATTTCTGTGTATATACACATAGGAGTGTATTTATTTCAGTGTATATACACCGAAGAGTGTATTTATTTCAGTGTATATACACCGAAGAGTGTATTTCTATCAGTGTATATTCACCTAGGAGTGTATTTCTATCGGTGTATACACAGAAGTTAAATTTAATAGATATTTTAGGTATCAAAGCATTCTTGACTGGTGATACACAGTACTGAGGTGGTCACCACACTAATAATAATACTAGGAACTAGGACCATAAGGTGAAGTCTAGGATCTAGGATCGTAAGGTGAAGTCTCGGATCGTAAGGTGAAGTTTAGGATCGTAAGGTGAAGTCTGGGATCGTAAGGTGAAGTCTAGGATTTTAAGGTAAAGTATAGGATCGTAAGGTGAAGTATAGGATCGTAAGGTGAAGTCTAGGCAGGCAGGAAACCAATATCAGCCATTGTTAGTAAGATATTGTATACAAATACCATGCACATAGGAGAGAGGAGCTTACGACGACGTTTCGGTCCGACCTGGACCATTTACAAAGTTGCACTGACACTAAAGATAGGTTAGGTTATGTCAGGTCTTAGTCATATGATGACCCACAGCTGGAGCTTTTGGTCATCTGACCGAGGCCTTCCAAGAGAGTGGTAAGGCTGAAAGTAGTAGTGGTAGTAGAAAGTAGGTAGTCAGGTCGATTTCCTTTAACCTCTCCTCGTAGGACATGCCCCTTAGCTCCGGGACTAGTCTTGTTGCAAACCTTTGCACTTTCCCTAGTTTCCTTACGTTCTTCCTTACGTTCTTGGCTAGGTGTGGGTTCTAAGCTGATGCTGTATACTACAATATGGGCCTAACGTACACGGTGTAGTGTCCTGAATGATTCCTTATTAAGATGTCGGAATGCTGTTCTTAGGTTTGCCAGGCGCCCATATGCTGCAGCAGTTATTTGATTGATGTGCGCTTCAGGAGATGTACCTGGTGTTATACTCACCCGAAGACCCTTTTCTTTGAGTGAGGTTTGTAGTCTCTGCCCCCCCTAGACTGCACTCCATTTGCGGTCTTCTTTGCCCTTCACCAATCTTCATGACTTTGCACTTGGTGGGGTTGAACTCCAGAAGCCAGTTTCTGGACCAAGCCTGCAGCCTGTTCAGATCCCTTTGTAGTTCTGCCTGGTTCTCGTCCAATTGAATTCTTCTCATCAACTTCACATCTTGTGCAAGAATGGTATATAATACCGACAAGATGAAATTAAGACACATGTGCAACATC